CACGTTGGCAGACGCATGTCACCTATTAGATCGGTGAGTCTCAATCAATGCGCTTGTTTCTCGGGGGGTTATTACATTTAGTCTTTTTTCTGTGAATGTCAAAAATCCGTATCAGCCACCCAACCAGCCTCTGGTCCCCTCAAGGCATTATGACTTACCTTCGGCATTCAAGACAGGCCCTGTAGCCTGTGAATGGGATGCTGTGTTGAGCCAAGCAGTTTTCTGCTCTGCCATGCCGCGCAGAGACGGCTTCCATATCTTCCGGCTCAGTATTCATGGTCTCGACACCAGGCAGGTCGTAAAATTGAGGCGAATGGGGGTCGTCGATGATAGATCCGGTATGGCGCCTCTTCTAATGTAGCTTTTTTTTCGACTGTCGCGTAGCTCAGGTAGCTAAGCGCTTGTGTTTAATGTCGTCTCAACGCTTCCTGAACCCAATGGAAGTCTGCGAAATGGAGGTAACGCGAGCAGAGTTCTCGTCACAAAGGGGATTTGCTTTGACCCTTGTTACCCCATATTCACCAAATTGCGGGGTAAACACCGCTAAGTATTAAACAGGTATAGCTTCCGGGCAGCCGCTGACTCCTCAGGCACCTCTATAACGCAGAGTGCTACACCGCTAACTAGCCAGTAAGAATTACCAATCCCTTAGGTCAAAAGCCTCAGATTACATTATTACCATAGCTGTAGGATACTCAATATGTAAATCATGCGTAAATGTTTTATCTAATTAAGTTAATTCCTTAGCTTAAGACCCTCAATCGGCCTATTCCAGTTATCAATTCTAAGCAGCTGTTTCTTGACTTTTGTATCCTCACTATTGCCTCTTTGCTATCATTGGGCACTTGCGAAATCGGTGGAGACGGAAAACAACGGCATTCCGACAATTGCATCACGTGCCCGGTAAACATTCCTTAACTTTGTGCACGCCCGCCTATCCCAAAAAGGATCCCTCCAGGAAGTGCACTTATAAGCTATCAACACTATACTTAGACGCAATGGCACATTCACTTTCTATCAGGTATTGCATCCAACTTCGGCATATCTTCTACTACATTATCGTCTCCATTACGTGAAAGTTAGTTGCCATGCATTCTACTTTATAAGCTCTACACTGACAATACTCTTTACAGATGGAGGCTACCACGCATGATGTCCCCGTGTTGATCGCTGGAGCTGGCCCGGCCGGTATGCTCCTCGCTGTGCAGTTGGCGAGAAATGGCGTCCGGTCCATGCTTGTCGAGCGCAATCTTTCAACTACTAAATGGCCCAAGATGGATGTCACCAACTGCAGGAGTATGGAGCTCTACCGACGAATGGGTATTGCTGATGGCTTCCGCGAACAGGGTAAGTATATCAAGTTCTTATTTAAACAGTTTTTAACAAACTGCCTATATAGGAGTTGCACAAGACTACTCTTTGGATGTGTTGTTTAGTACAGGTCTCTCTGATGGAGGTGAGCTAATTAGCAAATGGGTAAGTCAAAATTCACAGGAATAACAGTAGCAATATCTAACGTTCGATCTTTTTTTTCACACAGGATCTTGCCTCGCCAAATGAATGGAGACGCCGTATAGAGTCCCAAAATGATGGCTCCATGCCAAGAGAGCCTTATCAGCGATGCAGCCAAAGCATCTTTGAAGCTTGGCTAAAGGGGCAAATCGACAAAGAGCCTCTGATTTCCTTGCATTTCGGCCTCCAGTTCGAAAGCTTTCAAGAGACCCGAGGCGGCATTAAATCAGTTGCTATCGCTACCACGAAAGGTACAAAGCACACCATTTCTAGTGACTATCTCGTCGGATGCGATGGAGCAGGCAGTAAAGTGCGAAGATGTCTGGGGATTGAGATGGAAGGCGGTCCAACGTTAGTTACAATCATATGATACTGCGACTCTGCTAACATGTCTTGCATAGACCAGTCGCCATGTTCCTGGTGCACTTCAAGTCTCGAGACCTTTCAAGGCTTCATAAGCAAGGGCAATTCTGGCACATCTTCTTCACCACTGGTGCCGTCATCATTTCTCAAGATGAGGTTGATACTTGGACTGTGCATCTTCCAATCTCCTTGGACACGGATTGGAAAGCACTGGATCCTGAAACGGTCATTGCCCAAGTACTCGGAGGCTCTGGAGACCCTTTTCCCATCAAGGTGGACGAGATACTCGTTTCTAGCTGTTGGCGCCCGAGCATCGCCGTTGCAAATTCCTTTGCCTCCCCGTCACTCCGGGTCTTCCTAGCCGGTGACTCAGCGCATCACAACATTCCGACTGGTGGCTATGGTATGAACACTGCTGTTGGAGATAGTTTCGACCTCGGCTGGAAACTCGCTGCCGTCATCAATGGAAATGGTGGAAACCACCTATTAAGTTCATACGAGGTGGAGCGAAGGCCTGTAGCCATTCGGAATATTGAACGCTCTGGAGTACATTTCAAGGTCCATCAGGACTATTGTGGCTGGGTTGCAGAGGCTGGCCCCGGTGTGATTCTCTCAGACTCAGCACAAGTCAAAGAGCTCAAGAAAACCATTCACCGCCATGTTCAAGAGCATTCGGGTGAGAATCAAGACCATGGAATCGAGATGGGCTATAGATACAAGAAGTCTCCCATCATCTTGGTATCAGAAGACGCATTGAAAGAGCCCGAGTGGAGCTATCGCAGCTATATCCCATCAACATGGCCTGGCGCGCGTGCACCGCATGTTTTCCTCCAGGATGGGAAGACCAGCATATTCGATCTTTTTGGACAAGGCTTTACTCTGGTTGACTTTACTAAAGAAGGCGAGTGGGCAGATAGGTTCAGCCGGTCGGCAAAGCATCTTGGCATTCAGCTGAAGCCTGTCCATCTTCCAGAAGAAGCTCATGCAAGCAAGATTTGGGGCAGAGACGCTGTGCTCGTGCGCCCTGATGACCATGTTGCGTGGATGTCGCCAGAAACACCAGTTGGGGAAGATATCGAACACGTACTCAACGTGGTAGCTGGGTACGAGGCCGCCGAAGCCGGTATGAGGGCGGATACAACTAAAGACGTGAAAGCCAATGGTTTTACTTCCACTGTAGGAAATGTGAAACACGATAGCATTGAGCTTACTGCAGCGTTCCAGAAGTAGAAGGAGGAAGCGGTTGTGCTCAATAGATCTTATTAATATCCTGAGAACTCTATAAACTATTCGTAATGCGTGTAGGGATGAATATGGGGCTCAGGAAGCCTGTTATAAACTCTTCACATTTAACTTTAACATTCATCATACTCTTCTTAGGTTCAGGTTATTGTAATAACAAGTAGTTCGGAATTTATCTCTTGTAGTGCACTTATTTAATTCTTCTGGCCGACTTACTTCTAGCCAATATGTGCTAAGCACTGACAAGTGTAGGTCGATTACTTTTGCTGGCGACATACTACTATACAATAACGCTCACATATCGGATGGGGTTAACATGGAAGATGAATGATCTCTTTGGAAGCAATAGTCCTATGACCCAGCAATGCTGTCTGCTTGATCTACCTCGCTACTTGGACTGTCGACAGCCTACAAAGCATCTTCAAAAGCTATAATCCAAGGCTACCGATACTATATATACCAAGAACCTTAAACCTCTGAGCTACAGCCTCCTAATCATTGTTTCCAGTGGCAACACCCCAAAAGTAACCGCACCAGCTACCAATGACTAACAAGATCAGTGTAGCGAAGCAAGCCAGCGATACGCGCCTGTTTTTCTCACCATTTTCCTTGGTAAATATTTCTTTTCTTTCATTGAGTAAGGAGCCTTGTGCAATTCTCTTCTTTCGTGACCATTGGAGGTGTCCAAGGTCCACAGACTTCCACGCCCCGATCGCGAGCAGTATCGATACCACGACGGACAATCCAGCGAGGACGACGTAGACGATCGTCACCTTGTCGTATGAGTTGTTATCGGCGTCTTGAATCTTTCCGGTGATGATTCTGACAATGATATTCATCCTAGAATAAGTGTTAATAATACGAAGGGAAAAGGTATGATGTGAGTGCCCTTACGCATTGTTCATTGTGATTTTAATGGCATAGGCAGAGCCAAAGACGGTGCTGTCCCACATAGATGTACGTGTGCTATCAATAATCGTGGTAGGACCGAAGCAGTAAGCGAAAGCGAAAACGCCGAATGATGCGGCTGTTCCTTTGACGGCTCCAGAGAAGCAAACCAGAAGCATCGAGGTAAACATGCCAATGCCACAAAAGACCACTACGTAAAGTCAGCAGCCTGTATCTGACGTGCGAAATTATCAACTACTTACAGACGGAAATGCGACTTCCATAAAGATCGAGGAATACTCCCAGTAAAGGAACAACAAAGAAACCTGAAAGAACGGTCAGAGCTAATCTGGTGAGATAAATCTTGGCAAGACAGCTTACCTGAGTATTGCAAAACGGAACTATACCATCCAGCTGCAATAGAATCCGTGCCGAATCTCTGTTCAGCAAGTTCTGTCGCATTCTGCAGGAACACGATAGCAGCGCTCGTTTCAAACAGCGAAAAGCCCATGACAGCCCAGAATGTCCACGGGAGTTCCAAGACCTTGCGATATTCGAACTTGCGCGTCTTTTCAGTAAGTTTCTCTCCAGTAGCTGGATCATTGATACCGTGGTAGCGACGATTGGCAACCTTGGTGAAGAAGTAGAAGACACCCGTCATGACATTGGTGAAGATGTTCATAAATACCGCTATCCAGAAAACCCACGCAAAGCCGAGTCTCTTGGAGATGATATTGGCTGATGACTTGCCGGCAAAAGCTCCGATCTTACCTATACCTAATTCGAAGCCTAGGGTTGAGGCGAATCCGTTGCCCGGTGCGAACCACGATGAGAATACTTTGTACTGGGCGACTTGGGTGGCGATATCACCGAGAGCGCGCACGACCCTGCCAGCCATCATGAACTTGTATGATCGGGTCTGGGCCGCTCCAGCTACCAAGATCGATCCGACCGAATAGATAAGATTGCCATACAGCATCGCGCCTTGTTCCTAATCAGCGACAAGCCCTCCCATTCTTCAATTCAGACATACCGGCTCCACCAATTCTGTCAGTCACGATACCACTAACAAGCATCAAAGCAGTGACCATGAAGTCCTCGCTAGCCTCCAAGAGGGAGAATTGGGTGTTGTTGATGTGCAGTTCTTTCTTGATGGTGCTTTTCATGGCAGAGGTCACACCAGAGCTCCATTGCGACCCAAAGCCAATTGCGGTGACGAGGACGATGGAGGCGAGCTTCCAGGACAACGGGACGGGCTGGCGACCGTCAGTTCCGGGTTGGGAGATCTGCGACTCAGATTGGGTGTGATTTTCCTTGACGGACACGTCAAGCGGTACGAGCTTCTCTTCGTTCGCGAAGCTCTCTGGCGTCTGAGGTTGAGCCATGAGTGTAAAGATCGAAGAAGCTGTACTCAATGGATGGAGGTAGACAATAGAGCTGAGGTTCGATTGGGCCAAGGGCAGAGGACAGAGGATGTTTTACATATTTAAGTTGGTCTGGAAAAAAAGTTAACGGTTATTAGTTAGATGTTAGTCTCGAACTAACCCCAAAAGTCAGGGGACCGTGGTAATCAGATTGATAAGATGTCGAGTGAACACCCTAAAACCCAGAAAGGGTTAGTGAGGTTACATTGAAACTTTTCTCACAGTGAGAGAATCAGACCCCGTAAAATCCCGGTCACCCATGGAGCCACTTTTGAGACCATTTTTCCACTACGATGACGCTTCATTGTCTTCGGATCTTGCTAGGCCTGAGAATTACTAGAGCTGTAGACTCCGAGTTCGGCATGAGTATTACACAGTTAATTCTTCTGTTACTCAGATAAATGCTTGCTTTTTTGAAGACATTGGCTAATAGACATACTCTTATGGGTGCAAATAAATATTAAATATTTCTAGGTAGCTACCTACCCTAGAAAAATAACGTACTTGTATAAAATTACAGTAAGATTAAGCAACATATCTTATAGAGGATATATTAAAGGCCTAATTATGTATCTAAAGATCGGTAAAATTAATAAATATAATCTTTTTAATATAGAGATAATAGCATGATAGATAAGATGGCTTTTGCTTTTTTGCTGGTTTCATCTGCAAGATTTCATGTGCACTCTATCATGCAAATATTAGTTCATAGCGCTCAAGTGCCTGCTAGCTATACGGAATAGTCAATCGGGCATTCCTCCTGCTAAATACAATCAATTTCAACTGGGAAAGAGGAACAAAATTCTCAAGATATTGCGTTCTAAGTCTATGTAATGCCATTCCATCAACCGCCAAAGTTCTCACAGTGGACATCTATTCTAATATCTCGCTTTTCCTGCCATTTACTTGCTGAATCTTGCACGGCATCCATAAGGGATTTCGGCCCGCAAGATAAGACGAGAACTCGCTGATGACTTCCAGGTGCTCTCGCGCCATTACCAACTGTTCTATCAACGTCTAGCTTCTCAAACAACGGGTTGCATTTCGGCTCATCGCCGGTTGGGTGATCAGTTAGCCCGTATAAATTACCCATATTAGAGAGAGTTTCATAGTGAAACGTATCCTCTCTTAGAAGAACCTCCATTTCTGCTCCGCATGGAGATGCTTGAGTGTCGGTGTCGTCATACACTGAGCTACATGCAGACCGTTCGCCCGTCACGTAGACCTTGAGGCTTATTGGGTACGCCGACTCCGAAATATTACGCAAATGTCGGCGAAACCAGCTCAGCTGCTCTAAAAGATGCCAACCGTCAGAATGATCCGAGGGAATCAACTCTTGATCTAAACATACCTATACGCCTCACTGCCCATACGAACTCGATAGACTGGATCGCAAGCTTTTCACGACGCATCATGATACGGTTAATGACGCCAAAGGTAAAGGCAGCTCCACTGCCACCAGCGATGAGGATCAGTTTATCGTAGTTGTTCACGTCTGGTAGTGAGCCATATGGCCCATCAATGGATGCCCACAGAGAAGTCCTGGGATTCTGGCTTGCGAAGCTGCCGATAGCTTTGGTAAAGCCCTTATGCGATTTCATGACAAGCTCTAGACCAGAAGAGTCGCTACTGACGATAGTAAATGGATGAGTCTCAAACAATCGAAGTCCCGGAATCCACAAAAAGCAGTGCGATCCAGGTAAGCCGTTTTCCATTCCAGGCTTCTTGAGCACTATTCGTGTTCCATTATATGGAAGAGGATAAACTGTCGCCGAATTGTTGACCAGGTTACGAAACAACTTGCTCAGCCGTATGAGTCGGTCCACTGTCCACAAGCTGAATATGATGAGCATCACCGTTGGGATCTTCTTGGCCCAATTTGGCCTATGCAAGGCTGTCAAGAGAACGACCGCCACGAAGCCGATAGCGTGGCTGGCATAGAATAGTTCGTAATGCTTGTGTCTAAACACCCCCATTAGTAGTACAAGCATGGCAATGCCGGCTCCCATGCCCTCGATATCCTCCTTCGTCAACAACTGTACCAAACGACCTTGACGACCAAAATGTATGGTGTAGACAAGAGCGTGGAGTGCGAGAAGGAATACAGTGGTATAGCCCACAACGCGATGTAGGATATTCAGTTGGCTGTGCGAAACCGAGGCAAAGAGGGCCAAAGGCGTGTTCTTTAGGCCAAAAAAGACACATAGCGCCATGTTACCAGCGCACATCCTGGAATTGGTCAATTACGCATGGAATGTCGTAGGGCAGTGGTGCATCGTACCATCCAAATCGAGAGGCCCAATGATTCAATAGCTGGGGCATCGCAAGCATATTTGAGCAGAAAGCGACATTGCCAATAAGGTAGACGCTGATCACCAAGCTGAACCCCAAGGAAGGTCGGCCGAACCACGACGCCGGTAGACGTCTTTCGAGAGTTCTACAAACAATATGAGTATAGTGCTGTCAGAATATCCGGACACTTTTACATACTGGAACACCAGGAAACAGACCTCACGCCCGTAAATCGGTAATGACGCTGATGTTTTCGGATGTGGAGATGTAATGTGAATATTGCGCAGCCAGCGAAAGACGATAACTAAAAGCATGAGACCACATAGAAAAGCGGCATACTTGGTCAGTGCCTCTTCATTCTTGTCCTGCTTGGTACTTGGTGGTTTGAGTCCCTCCATTTTCGCCAAGCGATCGTGGTATGATGGAAGGAGAATGACAGATCTCGTCCTGATTGATAAGATTGCGTCAAATTTCGATCGATAAGTCTAACCTGGTTGTCGTCGGTCGGTCAAGCGGGCATTACGCGTGAGCCCCGCCACATGATCCCAGTCATGCTGCGTGGTGATCAAGCTACGAACATTCCCGATGTCGCTGCGACCTCTGACTGGACAAGATCTTAGCGAAGAGGGTGTCATGAATGTTCTTAATTTTTAGCTCGCGCTAGATCCGTTAGCTTGGCTGTTATCAATCTCCGTCGGCTTTCCGTCGGCTTCGGTCCCAAGACAGCTAGGCTCGGTGTTTTGATGACGAGCCTGATAGGCTGTTATGGTCATTATGGGGCGTGACAGGGATTTTGATCATGGCGAATTGTTCACTGTGAAGAAACAGTCTGTTTCCTGATCCCTGCTCGACAAACACTTGTTTCCTCTGTCGTTTAGTGGAGTGGGCGTAAACTAGCTGGGATATTTGCATGAGCCGATTTTTCACAAGCATGGTGGCTCACGGATCCACAAGATCAGATAAGATCATGTCAGGGTAGATTGATAATTGGTTCATCTGGAATGTACACAGCGAATACGCGTACAGTCCTGTACTGCTTGGCGAACAGACCCGAAAAACGCGCATGGCTCGACAATCCACTTCGGAGTTTGCAGATCGAGACTCAACTATCTCTGCATTCGACCCTTGATACAAGACGCAGGTTACATGACGCTGCACCATGGACGGCTGTCTCTGCAACACAATCCATACCCTGGCAAAGGACTACAACGAGGCCCAAGCCATAGAACTGATCCCGGCGCTAAATCGCCATCTAGAAGATCTGCGACAATTCTTAGCCAAGGCGAGTTCGCTCAGTCGTCATGTGCAGTATCAGATCACACCACGAAACCAACGAACCGGCAAGGCTCTCTTTGTAGACAAGGTTGATCTCACCCCTGTCGATCGGGTATTCTCAAGATTCGAGAACGGTGTGATTGGTTTCTGGGCAGACTCGGATGATCGTGTTCATCTTGAGCTGCGGCGGAGACTCGCCTGCGTTGTGATTTTTCTTCGATCTAAACTGGATCCTCAGATACTGGCTCCTCCTCAGGTGGCTGAGGTATTTCCGGGGGCGCGGAGTTTCACAGATCTGAGAAATGCGGGGAGGAAGTATGTTCAGATAGCCCAGAGACTAGGTGGCGTAGGAGCAATCTTCTGGCTTCCACTCAACGTCCCAGCTTCAACGTATGTGATGTCGTCATAATGACGGTATCCGAGTGTGCTGATGCTATGTAGTTATGAGAGGTATCTGAGTGTTGATGATGAAGAAGTCTTCACCCATTTATCATCCCTCAATCCAACATTCGAGAAATACAATGGGCTTGTACAGCGCCTGGTCCTCAGCCAGCTATGCGGTTAGTGATCCAAAACGTGGCGCAAGTGTTGTAATATTGAGTTGGCCCACAGATCCTCCTTCGCCAGTACGATATCACAATCTGTTTAGTGAGTTCAATTTATTTGTTCCTGCTCAAGATCAGTTATATCTTGTGATGTACGTACTCGGTGGCACGAAAATACCGGCTGTCTTGTTGGAAGGAATCCGCTTGCCACAACGACGTTGGAACGCCGACGGAGAGGTGGGTGAAACCAGTGCGTTTCAGTTTGGCCTTCCAGATGCCGTCGTCAGTCTTCTGTGCGATGAAGCAAAGCTCTCTGAGGTCATAGCAGGCCCGTATATTGTTGAACAAATCCAAGCAGACGATACCATAGCTTGGTCCCTCAGCCCCGAACGAATTTCGAGTCTCGAGGAAGCCTTGACGCCGCAGACGATCGAAGTGCTCGAGACGACGGCGCTGAAGCTCATCTGTTTTGTTTGCCCACTGTGCTATGAGGGAAACACGGACTGGTGGGACATATCCCCGGCTTCCTACGACATCACTGACACTAATGTCTCAGGTCACCGTCGCTGAAACAACAAGTGTGGCCAATACTACAAAGGCTTCTGAGAACATGCAAGATAACAGCTTCCCTCAGGACCCACATTATTGAAGCCGTCCTGTATTTCTGTGAAAGAGACTCACTTACCATCCGCCATGCTGCAGTTAAGCAGGCCAAACTGCTGTTACGAAAGTCAATGCCCTACTATCTCCACGCCTCGGTTGTTCTGTTCCGTAGCATACTCCATAGAGTTGACGGCGAACTTGCCAAGTCGGAAGCTCACATACGCGACTTTCTATGGCGAGGGCCACGCCCGAGTACTCGTCGGGACCATGCACTCGAGGGCCGTCTACACATTTCCCAAATGGAGAACAAGATTAGGTGCTACGATACTGATGTGCCATCGTTTGCCTACAAATGGAAGGCTCAACAGCCGCTATCAACCCTGGACATGGAAGTGACGTTTCGGCTCCAGAGCACAGCCGCTCGATACTTTCAGTCAATAGGCGATTTTGACGCAGCGAGGGCATCAACAGAACAGTTTTTGTCACTGGGTCGAATCAAACCTATCCCCATAAACTCACGTCGAGTCCTGCTAGGGAGATTATCTGATGTGTACTGCGAGATGGGAGAGTACGACAAAGCCATGGGGATTCTGGAACCTGAACTAGAGCATATCGATCCTAGTGACCGCATCCGTCGTGGATTCCGAAGGCTGATTCTGGCACTGGTAGAGGCAAACATCGGTATGGAACATTTGGATGCAGCAGAGTCGACACTGCGGGAGTTATCGATTTATCTGCCTCCCAGTCCAGATGATATCAATGACCAGCAGCTATATATACGAACACTTCTGGCGTCGGCTCGAATAGCCCATATGAGGATGGATCCTGGTGAAGCTATACTACGCTGGACACTTGCACTTGAACAAGTTAGCAGTATGCATGCGCTCGGTTCATCTCATGGGTTCATAGCCGCTGTGTGTCACTTGTCCTTGGCTCACGCTCAACTCTCGATCGGTGAGAAGGATGAGGCTCATCGCTCATGGAAAACAGGGCTGAAGATATTGGCGTATGAGAAGTGCGAATTCTGGATTCCTGTTGTGCCTACCGCTTGGCTTCGGAGGATAGCGGCAGATATATACCATTCCCAAGGCTGGCCATTTCGTATGATGCTACCTGGAGGGAATCCAGATGTCACGCAACATCTTTTCCAATTTAGTAGCCATAGCACGTAAGCCCCTTGACTCAAATGTATTTCGACCGAGTTAAACTGCTGGAAATGCCCATTTTTTTTTGGTCTTTTCATCGCAACGCGGATGCTGTTGCATTAGCAACCAAGTGCTTCCAAGGATCCCAACGAGAGAAATAGCTGGGATTTGGATCAGATGAGACTCTGGATTGGTCTTTGATCAGTGAAATCATGAATTAAATTGTTGCATGGAACCATAATATGTCTGCGATAATGCAGATGTCTATCCCCCACAACAAGGAAATACCTCTCTCTCCACTGGCCTGAAACTCTTCACCTGCAGCTATCCCAAAAAGGCGACCGACGCCAACTTTTTCAAATCCATTCGTAACTACCGAGCATGGACAAACAAATGAAACATTAAAGATACTCTCACCACCCCAAATCTTACTAAACAACCCCGGGCCTCGCGGAACCGTGAGGACCGAGATACAGAGAGCGAATATTATTGGGTTCCTAGCAAAGGCGTCAACGACTTGAAGATCAGGATCTTCCAGAGAACCCCATCCTGCGATAGTGCCTTTCTCACTGGTCAGAGCTACAGCTCGTGGTTGGCTGGTAGACGGCAGTTCGTCTGTTGGGTATCGACTAGCTCTTAGAACAAGATCTCTGGACTTTTCTTCCAGAACGGAACCAAATGAAACAGTCAAAAGACGGCAACGAGTATTTAGATTATTTATAGAAGCCTCTGGTGCAAATGAAGGAGTCGCTATAGCCTGGATGGCAGTACCGGATGGCGTGCTAGTGGGTGACGTGCTATTTCTGCCAGTTTTAGCAGGTGATGCAGCACGACCACCTGGAATAGACGAAACAGAAATAACGCTGAAGCAATCTGTCGCATCATCCGTCCTAATCCAAGAGACTAACGTATTGACCGAGGCCCATGACCAAGAGGGGAATTCCATATAACGGGAGTGTATACCCGCTGCATACTATTTCTAGAGTAAATCAACCCCCAAACACCACGGCCTCAGGCCGCAGACCGGCTCAGCAGACGGCTCCTGAGTAGTGAATTCTTGGGCAACACCACTAAGGACTACAAATTGGTCAGCTGCATCGCCGAATACCGTGATACCAATGCTTGCCAGTCCAGAGGAGACCGAAAAGAAGGAGCCGATGCTTTATAACGGTCCCAACGGCGCTTTGAGATTACAAGACCAAGTAATGGAAGGATACGGTGAAGACTTGGACTCGGATCTAGGTTAATAAAATTCTCCCCTTGGTGCTGAAGATCGCGACATTTGCATCGTAGTGTCAGGCCATGTTCTGTATACCAGGCGATTCGGTGACTCAGAGCCCATTCCTGAAATACCCACCCCCGAGATAATAGATCATTCCTCTGTATTTGATTGTGCTGCTTGGTCTCCCGGGTAGGATCAAGATGACAGGATACATAGAAATAGCCTCTTTTGTTCCCCTCATTGTCTCGGTAAGGAAGTCGAGCGTGGCGATACAAATCACCTTCCGGTAGATGAAAGAGACCTTGTGACCGCTTACTTGGGGAAACGGCGGCCATTATAGTGAAGGAAGCATTTTGGTAGTAGTCTGCCATCTTGACAGCCTCTGCGTTCCAATCCTGAGGACTATCTTGTATAATGCAAAGACTGTCGATCCACACGTACCGTATGCCCACCTGAGAGGCTACAAGAAGGACGTCCGTGAATAGAGGGTCAATATCTTGGAATGCTGACTGTAGACCTGCCACGCGATCATGATAGTTCCGCAGGTATGTACTTGATCGCGGCTTCTCGGGGTTGCTCCAACGGTGACTGAGAGATACATACTCGACCAATCTACCTCCAGTCTCTTCTAACGTGTAGCTCCATCCGTTTTGCACGGTCATGGATTTATCAACACGAATACATCTTGTTGGTAGTGGAGTGCGGCCTCTTTCCACTATTCGACTCATGGACAAGGTTTTTGCACACTCTTGGTGCCTGTCGCAGGAATCAAGCCATTTCCGTATCCTATCACATGACGATTTAGATGAAGGGTCTTGATCGACTGGAGGCAGTCCGATTATATCTCCACTAATTGCTGCCGGACTGCCTATGGTCGGGTAAGTGACTACTCTTGCTGTACAGTGTTGCTTCACGGGACTTTTCTTACCTTCATCAGCATGCAGATTGAACATATTGTAGCCGTCGCCTCTAGAAAACAATGAAGACTTCGGATCTTTCGAAAGTTTAACAAGCAGTATGGAAATACCGAGTCCGCGGTCACCCTGCGCTAGACGGCTACTGGTGGGAATATCAGTAGGGCTTGCGGAGGTCCAATGAAGCCATTCAAATCCACGCTTCAAAAGACAATTTTCACGAAAGAAACTCTTGTGATTTCCTCCGATGAGAATTTGGCAAAAGTGGCAGCCTTTCTGACTCCCTTCTCTGACGAGGGCCGTTTTGGTCGTTATCCAAGGGCTTCCAGGCCTGGCAAATGCCTGAACATCGAATCCTTGACACGACGGGCAAAGACTAGCTAAAGCTGCCATATTGGTCTCAGATAAGGATAATAGAGTTAAAGAACAGTAAATTACTCACAGAGGAATAGCAGGCGGGGAATAATTACAGTGTGCTACAATGCGTGCGGCTGAAATGAAAGTGCAAATGTCATCAACTGCTTGTGAGGCATTCCGATCCGCGTCGTCAGCATTTGAAAAGAGGGGGACGACTTGAAAAGATCACCACTAATCAAGCAATGAAACTATAACAAATAAACTCGTTCCAAGAAATGGCTCAAGACAAATTTGAGCTCAAGGTCCACCCTTGGCGCGAGGTGCTACTTATGCGCGCTACCGGCTACCCTCTTTTCATCGTCAGCATGTTACGGTCCTACTTTGCCGCAGTGGCTACTGACAAAAGGCATGCAAAATATAACTGTGGATTCCAACACAGGGACTCAGACCCCCGGGAATCTTCGCATATCCTCAGTCCGTATCCGACGAGCGCTATGTTGACTATGGCCTCGCTCGGTTTGACAACCAAGCACACACTGTCGAATCTTTGATCTACGTCTACTTCACCCTTAGCCTTGTCGACTGGTTTCCGTCTTGGATCTTGGCAAGTTACAGACACAATCCCGTCTGGGCTAACGGGTGGACATCAAGGGTCGTTATACTAGCTCATGCACTCGTACCTGCTGTGCATTTGGTAATCGCCATTACTTGCCAAGTGCTATTCACGGCGCTAGTACACAACTGGCTCAGTTCACCACGAATTCGAGACTTGCTGGATAGGTGGGAGGAGCTGGACAGACAACCATGAGGACCGAGCACGCCCCTCCCTCCCGACCTTCCACCGCCTCCCCCTCCTCCTCCTCCAAGAGGTGACTACATTAGTAAGAATCCAAAAGAACAAGAGATAGACCCAGTTGTCACATGTGTGTTGGCGTTCGTCGTCCTCTCAGCCATAGATACCTTCGTCCGCTGGGTCAAGCCCCTCATCGTACGAGTTATCCCAACATCCTGGAGATATCCGGACTCCATCACTGTTTGCCATCGACCGGTTCCTTCTAAGAGTCTACAGTTCCTTGAGGAAGATCGAAAAGCAGCAGAGCCGGAGATTGAGCTTTGGACGCCCTACTACCTAGGCGGTTTCCCAGTCCTCGGGAAATGCAAATGCTACTCCAAATCCTCCCCCAAGTCACGGCCAGCTGAATTCTCCTTCGCGATGGCCTCCGGTTCCCGAGGGAATACCAAAAACTCTTTCTCCATTACTTCGTCGGCTACATGCAATGGGAAATAGTACTTGGCTTTTCCACAATTGGACTTGTTCTCAATACTATCTACCTGGTACTTCTACAGAGGTCCGATCGCGTGTGTAACAGGTAAGTGATACTATTAGATACGAAACATATGCTGATGACTGGCTCAGCGGCTGCAGTATGGGAATAGTATACCCTTCTTGGTGGCTATTAACTTTGCTGTGCATTGCCGCTATCATACGCTTCCGAATACTTTCAGCGTGTTGTCTGGAGGGGCACGCATTCCGCCTGTGTTGTCCACCTCGTTACTTTATGGTTTTGGATTGGAACCATTTTATTGCTTGTAGGTCTAGTATTGATGATAACTGCTGATGACTTTCTAAAAAGATCTGAGAATGATGGTGCTATTGTCGGTCTCAACATCGGACGTGTTATGCTTGTTGGCATCTGGATAACATTGGTGTACATATACCCTCCTTGGAGAAGGTACTTTAGAAAATAACGACTTCTTAAGGGGTATTTACTATTTACGTACAGAAAAAAGACGAGGAAAATGGGAGAAGGCTATTAGTGGGCTAAGACGGATTCACAATGTCGATGACAGTTATAGTATTGCCAGGTAGCATCAGGATCAAGGATCGAGCTCGGGGCAGAGATTCAGCAAGTGTTGTGATTGTAAAAGCGTCCTCTAATTTTGTGGACTTCTAGCAAGAAGGGATCAAACTATTAGGTATTTCCGACTGTCAACGACGTCGTTAATGATCGAGTTCCTAGCCATCTTAGAGACAATTATAGGTCCCTGCGCTCATCATGATGCACCTGTTCCGTGGTCTCAAAGACAGCCTGCTTCTCAGTGTCCTTGAGGTCCACTTGTGCAACATTAGCGTCATCACCATCGAAGATTCTAGCAATCTCTTCCAGAGTAGGGCCCTTGGTCTCAACGTAGAAGAAGAAGACAAAGGCGAGCTCAACAGCGATCCAAACCTATTTCTCTATTAGTCTTCTGAATATTAAAGTAAAGTCAGAGAGGCGGTACTTACAGTGTAGAAGCACCAGAAGTTCCACTTGTTGGGAAGGTTATCGAGAGCGATGGGGTTGGTCTGGTTGCCAATGGTGAGGGCAACCTGGATGAAGAAGTTCATGATAGTGAGACCTCGGGCACGGAGTCTGAAGGGGCAGATCTCCAGAGCGTAAGCGACAATAAGACCAGACCAGGCGATAGAGTAGCAGACGTCGAAGAGCCAGATGAGGGCGATCTGGGGGTATCCAAGACGCTTGATCTCGACC